TCTACGAATGGCACCATCTAGGCAACAAACTAATTTACGAACTATGCACACCTCGCTTTAATAAATTAACATAAAAACAATAAATTTCGGTTGATCTTTACATTATGGTAACTTGGCGTTTTTTTGGCGAAAATTTGGCGACCAACTCTCCTACAGCAACCCTCTATTTTTTTTCCCGCCCCCATTTTGTCTTCACGAAGTAAAGACATGTTTCTTTTCTTTTTATCTACTGAACACTTCTTCCAACAATCTACTAGCCGAATTACACTTATGCTAGAAATTTTATCTAACAAAACTGCTTAATCATGACAAATATTCACTGCAAAATTGGGAAAAAGTGCACAATACCATACTCCTTACGCGTTTTTCAAAATAACACATAAACCATGTACACGTCGACTTATTTTTACTTAAAAAAAAATCCCAGAATTACACAAAAATGGCATTGCGCACACTCTTCACTATATCCATGTACACTGCTTTTTTCTCATAAATTAGAAAAATTTCACGAAAATACATGACAATTTTCTCAATCTTTAAACCCTGGTAAAAAGAACATATATGAAATTACCTGATCGCGAAAAAGTATTTACCCTTTCCAAATATGAACATTTTCACATATAAAATAAATAAAATATCCAAAAACTTTTACCTCTAAATCATCTATTACATTATACACGTCACCAACGAATTCATACCGCAAGCATTACAAATACTTAGTATCAAATATTTAAATTATTTCCATGCACGTTTACTTCAACTTAAACGTATACCAAATTCCTACAAACATAAAATTCACAAAATAACTATCATTTAATTAAAATATCACTAAACCATGTACACGCCGACTTATTTTTACTTAAAAAAACATCCCAGAATTGCACAAAAATGGCATTGCGCACACTCTTCACTATAAAATTTCACGAAAATACATGACAATTTTCTCAATCTTTAAACCCAGTAAAAAGAACATATATGAAATTACCTGATCGCGAAAAAGTAAGGAACATTTCCACATATAAAATAAATAAAATATCCAAAAACTTTTACATCTAAATCATCTATTACATTATACACGTCACCAACGAATTCATACCGCAACCATTACAAATACTTATTGTCAGATATTTAAATTATTTCCATGCACGTTTACTTCAACTAAAACGTATACCAAATTCCTACAAACATAAAATTCACAAAATAACTATCATTTAATTAAAATATAATTAAATTCAAAAACACTACTTAAAATATAAATGAGCACATACATTAAATTAATACATACATAAATACCCATTTTGAATTCACTTTAGTTACGGCCATGGGATCCAAAAATTCACGAACACTGTTTCACACAACACAGAATAAAGCCAAATACAAAATTTCCAGATTTTTTCCCGATTTCCCCCCTTTTCCGATTAAAGAACCGTAATTCGTCCATTAATATCACATGACATATCCCATGATCTCTCATTTCCCTCACACAAAATAATGCGTAATCGGAACTGAGTACTGCTCACATTATTACCAAAGTGCCAGGTAGTAACCTTTATCGCCTCCAAAATGTCGCCAAACTACCAGTTACCATATTGTAAAGATCAACCTAAATTTCAAAGAATACCATGTACACAGCGTTCTGTTTCAACTTTAAAAAACATCTACGAATTGCATAATTTAGACGGTACGCACTAATCAACAAAATAACTAAAATAAATTTCAAACAATTAAAAAAAACAACAATAACGACAGAAATTCATACTAAAAAAACAATGAACATAAAATTCTACAAAATAAGAACAAGAATAAAATAAAATGCACTTACCATTAATGCTTTTTCAAACAACAGAAATACCAATTTCATACCGCCTTTAACATACCGCCACGTAATCACTATCGTATTTATATGACAGCCAGACACACTATCCAGAAAATTCGTATTATGGTTCACAAATAAGTAAAATAACAAATAATCACAAATCCCTACTTCTATCACGCACAGCCACTAAAAATAATCTCCCATACCTTCTTTCCTATACCTCCAAATACCCATTGCCCCTCAACAGGATGGCCACGACGATATTTCCTTATGCCGAACTTCAATTCAACAATTTTCACCATTAAATCTTTCTCCCCTAGCTTCTCAGACACAAAGCATCACGGGAACCAATGAACTCCAGCGAAAGATTTTTCAACGTCAACAGGGTTGCCATACAACACGCAGTCGCGCCAAAAACCAGCGCAGAACACATATCGCCACATTTGGTGAAATTAGGGCGTATATCAGAGTTGTACCAAATAAAATAAAATGCACTTACCATGAATTAATGCTTTTTCGAATAGCAGAAATACCAATTTCATACAGTCTTTAACATGTCGCCACGTAATCACTATTGTATTTATATAACAGCCAGACGAACTATCCAGAAAATTCATACTATGGTTCACAAATAAATAAAATAACAAAATAATCACAAATCCCTACTTATATCATGCACAGCCATTACAAATCTCCCAGACCCTCTTTCCACACCTCCAAATACCCACTGCCCCTCAACAGGATGGCCACGACGATATTTCCCTTTGCCAAATTTCAATTCAACAACTTTCACCATTTTATCTTTACCCCCTAGCTTCTCAGACACAGAGCATGACACGAACCAGTGAAAGATTTTTCAACATCAACAGGGTTGCCATACAACACGCAATCGTGCCAAAAAGCAGCACAGAACACATATCAACACATTTGGTGAAATTAGGGTGTATATCAGAGTTGTACCGTATAGTGGTTAGGGAAGCCGACTGTAATACCAAAAGGCCCAGGTTCGAATCCCAGAGAAGGCATGATTGTATTTGTCCATCCCCCTCATAGGAGGCAAAGGTTGACCACCTATTAGGCACTTTCATAATGAAGCGACCACTGCTTCTGGCCTTAATAGTGGCGAATATCTGTGGATTGGGCCCACCTTTGGGAAAATATATATAAAAATTATTTACTAATGGATTATTTAGTATAGTATTTCTTTTCATAAAGGTAGTTAGAATTCTAGTGAAATGAAGTAACTTATAAGCATATTTAAAAAATTAATCTTGAATTTTTTTTTTAAATGGAAATATCAAAAATGAATTGAATATATATATATGCATAAGATTTGATTGTTGAAAGAAGCCAACATATTACTCAAATGGTATCAGCAGGTAATGGCTAACTGACCAGATGTCAAAATGACATATATGCAATCATAACATTTTAAAAAATGTATATGTACACAGGTGACAAATTGTTAATCCTACAGATCTTTTCATGAACTAAATGAACTGCTGGAATCACAAAGAGATCAAGTCATTCTTTTCTATTTTTAGTACACTATACAGGGTGTTTTTAAGTCATGATACATATGTTAAGGGGTTACAGAACACAACTGAACTAGCAAAAATCAAACAACTTACAGCCAAAACCCAAATGGTAAGGCACTAGGTGAGATGTCCAGCATCATGAAATAATGAGAAAGGAGACAGATTGAAAGAACATCATCAAAATTTAAAAAAAAAAAAAAAAAAAATTAAAGGTTTTACGGAACAAATGAGGGTTAGAGTAGATTGAAGGATGCCCCTTGAATTATCGCTAGGTTGCTGTGTCATTTATTGCCAAGTTGTTGTTTCATTTATCGCCAAGTCGTTTCATTTATGATAACCTGAGTCGTTGAATACTATGAAAACCCTATTATCACGTAATTGGTTGTGTGACTGCAGTGAATTTGGATGATGGGAAGGATTTTGGATAAGAAGTATGTTATTTTGCGATTGACATGGTAAAACGGCTGAATGTTACAAGATTAATTTGAAGTGTCTGCATGATTAAGAACGAAAGGGAATAAAACATCAACTGACTGGTGTGTAAATGAAGGTTTACATAGTTGCCATTATAAGCGCCCTGTTTGTAGGAAGGAAATGCTTATGGTCGAACGCCGGAGAATATTTTTGACTCATTTTTGCGAATTTATGTGGTGATGCCAATATACAGATTCTAGTTCAGATAATTTTAAGAAGTTTTTGGATGCTGTTAAGGAATTTTGTTTGACTCAAGACAGAGAAATTTGTAAATAAGTTAAGTGGATATTTCCTTTCTGTAGTGCTAAGATGAATTTCCTTTCTTATGTTATTTCATTGATTTAAAATGTATTTTATTGAGATTATATATTTTTTTGTTAGCTGCTTCTTTCCCACAAAATGGGAAAAACAAGAAGAAATGAAAGCTAACAAGTGGGGAAAAGAAAAGAAGAACAATCACTGGAGCTTCGGAACTCCAATTTTCAAGAAAGCTATTCTCTGAAGAGTCTTTGCCTCCTATGCTATAGCTGGGCATATTAGAATGGCCTTAAAGCTTTGGTATCCTATCCTGACGTACTTCACACATTCCACCCAGTGATATCCCCGCCAAGATGAGGCAGTACAGCACAGAAATGAACAGAAGTACATAATTAACAGCAGCTGAGCAAGATTTACCCACCCCTTCATGTTTTCAACAATTATACATGCAGTCCCAACATGCCCATTTGCTTTTTACCCACCTGTAATTTGTACAGCGAAACGACGGAAACTGCTATATTAAAATTTAAATTATTCATTATTTTAGAAGACACAATTTTTTTTTTTTTTTTTTTTGTAAAACGTGTTCTGAATGAAGAATTTAAATCCGGTGTGGAATATTAGAACAAATTGAGTATGAAATCGAAGGAGTATTAAAAAAAAAAAAAAAAAAGAATGTGTTAACAAAAAATAGAAACTCATTCTAAATTTGTGGGGGAAAACTAAAGAAAAAGCTCTGAAGAGTTTTTTCATTATTCTTCAAACAGTCAAATGCAAATTATTTTAAACACTGGTATATATATAATTCAATGAAATCTGTAACTAAATAAGCGCGTATTTCCTTGTCTGGTTTGTTAAGGAAATATTCGCCTGGATCTAAAATATATCTCATGAAAAATGCAAGCAAAGTTTACCTCTTCTCTTGAATCCGGTTTCATTCAAGCTACACAAACCTTTGCAAGAAGTAAAGGCAAATTTTCTGCAAAAGCAAGCAACAATTTCTAAAGCTGCTGCTTCATACAGCTTTGATAATTTCTTCAATGTATACGAAACATCACGCGCTTGAGGCTCTCATGTTCAAAACGAAGTGTCTATATGTCCGACAGCGCACAATAGCCAAAGAGAGTCTATGTACATATTCTTTACAGTAGCTCCAAAGAATTTGGTTACCTCATACGCAGTAGAAATGCTAAATGTCCGACTAGTTGCGCAGAGACTTGTTTCCGGATGGTTGTACGTAAAGATCCTAGGAGGAGCCTTAGTTGTAAGTTGACATTTAAATTCGGTGAATTATGTTGTGTTTACCTCAATTTCGTCGTAAGAATTACATATGACTTTGTAAATATTTAATTAATTCTCCATACAAAATTTTGCATGACACGGCTTTTGTGTGCAGTAAAGCAAATTTGTGTTTATATACTTATTTACCCTTTTTTTATCAACCCTCGTCTTCATAATCCGAAATGGTTAGGTCCGTCAGTAGCTACCTTCAAAATAATGTTCTAGACATCTCGAGAGGAGAAACGGCGAATTTCGAACATTTATTGTGGTTTTACGGAGCACGGGAGGGGGGTTGCCGATACCCCATGCTCACTTTCGTGTTGGCCCGTCTTCTAAAGTAGCACCTGTTATCTCTCAGTTTTAGTCAATAGAGTTCAAGTCGCATCATTCTGTCTTTTCCTCATTTGATGTATGATAAAGAAATGCAAAGACTTCAAAAATTTAGTATTGCAGTCTATATAATAATGAAAAATGCTATTAAATTCTTTTTCAAGCAAATCCTATGTATTTGGTTTTTCTTTGCTCGTTACTGAATTGGAAATTTTCTTTTCAATCTGTGGTCTGTCACCCGCTGCTACATCTTGTAACGACATTGACCTCACCCCTTTCTCTTACGCCGCCGCTAGCGCGGACCTGACTCTCTTTTTCTTCCCTTCGATTTAGCATTTTTACTATGCATGGGCTCAAGGAGGTTAGAATTGCATGGGCTAACCAAAGAATACATAGAAATTCTTGGGGCTAACTGTCCGACATCGGACGTGTAGACACTTCACCTCTCTTTTTTATTTCTCACGCTGTGGGCAGAAAGACTTACGATATCAAAAACGTGAGACTTTTGTTTCAACGAAAGGGGCATTGAATATCCGTAGTTTTATGCAAAGCTGAAGTTTTATGCATGAATTTTCCTGACTATAGGTATATAGATATAATGAAATTTCTATCTACTCTCAAACATCTGAATTAAAAGACGATGTGTCAGAAGCATAGAAAATTTAACGTGTGTGTAGAAATTATTCGTACAAGAGTGGTTTCGGGAAAGGGCTTAATTCTATCGAAAGGTAATAAATAATAATATTCTTCAAAAGGTAATAACTAATAAAACAAACTTTAACAAATACGAGTGCAAAAACTATACGGAAAAGATATTAACTAAAACCGTGGGAATTTATGGGCACTTAAAAAGTATTCGTGCATTTAAACAAATGCAAAATTTTGGTAGCATTCTAATTGATTTAGTTAGTTTTTCGTTGATAACTGACGTCATTTTTCTTGAGAGTTATATAAAATGACCGGGTGTAACTTTCAATGTGGTATGAAATGTAAAATTTTAATATGGTTCATAAAGGTAAAGAAACTAGCGTTTCTGAAATAGAATTCATCATAAAGCTTTGTAAAGGCGGTAAATTGTACAATGAAATTTCAGTTTTAGTCTGCAGACCATGTTCAATTGTCAATCGATTATTCAGAAGTTTATTAGCTCTTGAAGTGCTAGTTCAGAACGGCCGTAAGTACGTCTGTAGACAGACAATTTCTGGTGCGTTCGTTGCAGAAAGATACAAAAGAAAGTTCTCCTAAGCTTACAGCAGAATTCAGAAACATGGGAAGAGCAGTATCCATAAGTACAATTCAGATAGCTTGAACAAAACAAGGTTTCTATGGCCATGTTGTGAGACGAAAATTCTCTGTGAGTGAGAGCAATCAGAAGTAACAATTATCCTTCACCAAAAAATGCATGAATGAACACCCAGAGTTCTGGAAGAACAATTTGTCACACAAAAACAAATTCAGTATTTTTGAATCGGATGGGAGGCGAATGGTATGGAGGAAACAAAATACAGAAATACATCCAAGGCATTTACTTCAGTGAAGCATAGAGATGGAGGCAGGTTTGTTTGGAATTGCATGAGTGCTTCTTAGGTCGGTAATTTAATCATCATTAATGACATTTTGGGGATGTTTCCTTAACCGGCACGAAATTTCGGATTTGTTTTCATACTTGATAATGATGACTAAATTACCAAGCATACAGCCCTAAATACAGTGCTCTGGATATTATATAACACCCAAAAGTTTAGGAAATTTCCTTGTCAGTCACACGACCTCAATTCCATGGAGAATTTATGGGAAATTTTTGATTAAAATGTTAGGTCCAGGCACATTTCCAATAAAGATGAATAACTGCTCTTAAGCAAGAATGGGAGTCCATGTCTAGCTCAGAACAGCAAATTTGATTGAATCAATGCAAAGGAGACTCGAAGAATTTATACATGCTAAAAATATCTTTATCTATGAAAATATTCAGCATTATATATAATGTACGAATACTTTTTACACCACAAGATAATGGATTATTTTTGTTTTGCAAATGTCTTGTATGCATGCATTTATGTTATGCAAATTTCACATAGAAATATTAAAGTATATTTCATTATATATATTTAAGTATTTATCAGTGAGGCATATTTAGATCATAACATTTACTGTATGAATAACTTTCTACATTCACTGTGTATCTTTTTAAAATAACAGTGTTATGCATCATATAACTGCATACTTAATTTCATTTTTGCTTATTATATCTATTTCAAATATATAGTAGCATACTTGATAATTTATTTCTGAGTTTTTTCATACTGTAATATTAGAAATAGTTTTTTCTGACTTTAACTCTTCAAGTAATTAAGCAGAGCAAGAGAAATTTTAAAGAGATTTCAGATCTGAACACATGATATTAAAACTATTTATGCAGTTAGTAACTTTACTAAAAACATTGTACATTTACTTTAAAATGTTTACAAAGAGGAATTTGTATTTACTTACAAAAGGGAAAGTTAAATTTATTGTTTTTCTAAATTTCGGAGCAAATTACAATTTAAATTTGTAATTTGCTCCGAAATTATCATATTCTGATGATTCATTATAAACGGCAGTTGGATGTAGCTTTTGACTTTTTGAATATTTATTTATTAATAATGCAGATATATATAAAGATCTGAATGCAAACTAAGCTAATCTTGTTATTTAATGAATAATTTTCAGTATCTTTTAAAGGAAAGAAATGCAAGATAATCCTTTGTATTTTAAAACGTACTGTTGCATTATCTGAACTGTGACAAAATGATTTTCGTCAAAATTGGGCAAAGGGCTGTTTCATCATAGAAGGCAACCTATAATTTTATGAAAATGTCTTTTATTTGACGAGACTTTGAATAAAACAAATCAAAAAAGCAATTAGATTTGCATATCAGATAGTGGCAGTCTGACCAAAATAAAGTTGTAACTCGATTTTTGATCTCTGTGTTCATGGGACATGCAACAGCTGCCAATATTTTTGAAAGCTTTCAAATGGCAGTTAAAAAATTAGGTATAAAAAAGCTGCTACAAATAAGTATGGGTGGGCCAGCCATAAATTGGAAGTTTTATGAAACCCTTCAACATGAATTGGAAAAGGAATATGACATTGAATATGTATCTATTGGTAGTTGTTTGTGGCTTGAATATTTTGAACAATGCTTTCTGTAAAGGAAAATACACTACAAGCTGTGATATACCTTCTAATTTAGGAGCACTTTACTATCTATTCAAATATCTTCCAACATGAAGAGAAAATTTTTTAACAGTGAGTGTGCTTAAAACTTTGCCATTGAAATTTTTTAACCATAAGTGGCTAGAGAATATACCAATATGTTTGCATGCTTTTGAAATTTGGTAAGATATAAAAGGTCATGTCAAGCTTATTGAGAATGGAAGATATGCAAAAATAACTTGCAAATCATATGAAATAATGACAGATGCAATTAAAACCAAATTAATGCCTGTAAAATTCCTTTGTTTCATTTGTGTGGCTGAATTGTTCAAACCCTTTTTGGAACTGTACCAAAGTGATGAACCATTTGTTCTTTTTTTTTTTTTTTTTTCTTTTTCTTTTGATTTACGCAAATTAATAAAGCAACTTTTGCAGCATTTCAAAATTATAAAAGAAGAGTACATTTTAAAATCAAGTCATCACTGAAATATTCGTGTTGCTTTGATTTTTCTGAGAAAGGATTTGTTAATGAAATAAGCAAAATTGGTTTAAGATTTAGAGGTGATATGCTCATGCAACAGCTATACACTAAAAAAGAAATCATGAATAAAGATTACCTTTCTCTTAAATGTGACTTGCAAACTTTTATTTTACAGCTACTTGAAAAGCAGATGGAGTCCAGTTAAATACAGTACAAAGTCCGAAAGCCAGACGTTCATTATCTAGGATGATCTAAAATCTGGACCTCAAAACCACCAACAATGTTTTTCTCGTAGGATTTACACATGTGCATTTGATTCCCCCCTCCGTGCATAATAAAATATCTGAAGAGTCCCGATTCTTAATTTCACTTCGGCACAATAAAATACCATGTTATTGAAGACATGATCAGTAATTTGGCTCCATTGCTGCGTATCTGCTTTTGCATACATCTCAAACCGAAACATTCCACATAGATACATCGTTGATCTGACGCCAACTTGGCGAATTATTATTTATTATACTTTCCTTTCATCACTGCACATTTATCAAAACGTGACAAGTTGAGTAATGACTCATGTAGCGATGCGTAAACAATTCTTTTATGTTAATAATCGAACAATAAAGAGTATGGTAACCTTTGATGTTGACATTATGCTTGGGGATGATTATAGATTTAAGTTAAATGTGCTAAAAAATGTTGACGAGGAAAAATTTACCAAAAATTTCTTTCCATATGCCAAAAATGGATTTTGTTGATGATACTCATAGACCCAAAGATTACATTTAGGGCTATTTGAATTAAGAATAACTGATTTGTTATTCACATAAACCCAGAACCAGTGCCAGGGCTCGTATGGCCATACCGAGCTGCAGAATTTAGGACCCACAGAGACTGCATCAGGTGGTAAGATATCTAGCGCCGGCCCTCAATAAGGCTTAAATATATGTGGGAATTTATTTATTCAGAACTCTGATAAGCATATGCAAGAAATAGACATAAGTATAATAAATAACTAAACTAATACAATTCAGGCTTAATTGTCTTAATAGAAGCGAGATAAAATTTAGCAGAACAACTTGTCGTTAGTCGTCAAGCTCATGATGCATAGCCAAATATGTATAGTGAAGGCTAGTTAACTTTTGATGATGATAGCCGCTAATGGTGAAGGTTTTCGGATATCGCAAAACAAAAGTGAAATTTTCCAATAAACAGATTTGTTAAGAAAAATGGAGAAGTGGTAATAATTGAAGATGATATAAAAGAAGTTGTTCATTGTGATGACAATGCTTCTCAATCATCACTCAATTAATGAATGGTGAAATCTGTAGTGTGGTTCTACAGAAAATACTGCTACCGATAATGAAGAAAGTGACAGAGAAGTTACTGAAAACGAGAAAATTTTGATTGACAAGTTAGTCGGAATTCTCGAAACAGCAGTTACAGGACTTCAACAATGTAACTAAACAAGAGATATATGTCTGTCTACAGAATTAAAGAGAAAGTATTAGCACAAAAAAAAAAAAAAAAAAAAAAAAAAAAAAAAGGAGCAACTTAACTTACATTGAAAGAAATGTTTAATAAGGTAAACAAATAAATATTAAGCTTTTTTTTTTTTTTTTTTTTTGTAAATTTTGATACCCTTTAGATCATAAATACTTCATTATTTCATAAATCACGATTTCATATTTTTAATTTTATAATTTCTACATGCCATCTTACTAGATTTAAACTGATGATCTAATATCCAGAAAAATCCGGAATCGCTGAAGTGCCGACAAGTCTAGATTTCGGACTTTGTACTGTATTTACAATTTTGAAATGTTATTCTATGAATCCAAAGTATTTGGCGCAAAACAGCACAAAAGTGTACTGAAAAATGAAAAGTATACAGTCAAAAGTCGTTAA